AGGAATGCATTTGTCTACCATTTCTTTCACTCGTTTGTCCATATTTGGGTACCAGATCTTTTCGCGTAGTAGGCTTTTCGTTTTCTCAATTCCCTGATGCCCGATATGACCTAATTTTGTTGCTCTTTCTTGTAATGTTGTTGGAATGACCCGCCGTGTGTTCTTCAACAGTATACCTGCTGATGCATTGTACGTAAGTTGGTCGGCGCAAAGTCTAAACGGTTTAAGATCAGGATCGTTCTCATCCCATTTTCCCTCTTTCAGACATTTCTTAACTTTTTGTAATACTGGATCGTTATGGGTTGCTTTTTTAATCTCTTCCGATCTGTCATTGACTTTGGAACTGAACAGTTAGTTACATAGTTCACATATTCTTCTGCTGATGTACTAGTTATTTGTTCTCTCTCTATAACAGCTGGATGTCTACTTAAGTAGTCAGCTTCGTTCAAGGATCCTTTGCGGTAAATGACTTTGAAGTTGAATGGTTGTAATCGCATCATCCATCTCTCGATACGGGCTGGTGGTCTGGATCTTGGGTTATTGACTATAGATTCTAATGCTTTATGATCAGTTATCACATCGAATTCTGATCCAATCAAGAACATTCGAAAATGCTCAATTCCCCATACTAAGCCAAGTCCTTCAATATCTGTTTGAGAGTATCTTGTCTCAACTGGGCTGAGTGCTCTGCTTGCATATGAAAGGATTTTGTACTGCTGGCTGTGATGCTCTTTCTGTGCTAGTATTGCACTAATTCCATAAGGGGAGCCATCTACGATTACTAGACTTCGTTTCTTTGTATCGAAATATGCCATAACTGGGGTACTTGTTAGTTTCTTTTTCAGTTGCTCAAATGCTTTCTGATGTCTATTTTCCCACTTAAACGCAATGTTTTTCTTGGTTAGTTCTCTTAGAGGTGCTGTAATAGTTGCATAATGTGGAATGTATTCGTGGCAAGTGTTGGCCATTCCCAGAAAACTTCTAACTTCTCCAGCAGTTTTGGGAGCTGGTACTCTAACCATGTTCTCGATTCTCTCTGGATCTGGTTTGGTTTCTGCTGCTGTAAATTTTAATCCCAAGAACGTAATTTCGTCTTGTAGAAATTCACATTTTTCCCCTTTCACTTTCAAGTTTAGTGCTGCTAGCCGTTTTAGACAGTTCTCTAGTGCTTCATCGTGTGACTTTCGGGTTTTACCATGAATAATAATATCATCCACCAGGTTTTTCACTCTTCTGATATCGCTAAGGTTTTGTTGTAGCACATTTTGGAATATTTCGGCTGCACTGTTCGTACCGTAATTTAATCTTTTATGCTGGAACAGTCCTTCATGGGTAGAAAACGTTGTAATGAATCCGGGTGTAATTCGAGCTGGTGATATGCTTGCTTTAGGTCAATCTTTGAGAAGAATTTTGCTCCATTTACCTCAGCTTTAAAATCTTGTAAAGTTGGCATTGTGTGTCTCTCTCTTTCGATTGCCTGGTTTGCTTCCGTCATGTCTACACAGAGTCTAATACCTCCGTCTTTCTTTGGCGTGACGACTATTGGAGATATCCATGGTGTTGGTTGATTGGTGACTTTCTCGACAATGTCTTGCTCTTCTAGTTTCTTTAGTTTCTTAGAAACATCCTTTCTCACATAATATGGTATACGTCTTTGCCGCTGCATAACTGGTTTGACATCGTCTCGGATATGAAGTTTAATTTGTTGATTATTCAATTTTCCTTACCCCTTGAAAACTGTACTATATTTGTTTATGATTTCTTGTATTTTGGGGTCTTTTGATTGAGGAACACTTGTGTTGATTTCTGGATTGGTCTCGCATGCAGTGCTGTGTGTATTGTTTTGGGAGTATCTATTTGGAGCGGGTCGCGGGTAAAAGGAGCGGGTCGCGGGTAAAAGGAGCGGGTAATTAAAAAAAGGAGCGGGTAAAAGGAGCGGGTTTTTAAAAAATAGGTACGCGACGCGTACATGTATCTGCGAAAAAACTTGATTCACATTCGAAAAAACTTGATTCAAAGTCGGTTTATAACTGATATATTGCCCTCGGACGCTACGCGTCCTCGGGGGCAATATATCAGTTATAAACCGACTTTCGAGGTTTATAACTCTAACTTATAGATGTTATTTGTTTTTGCATAACTGCTATGTCTGTTTTAACCCCTTTCATATCGTTGGTAAAAGTATTGTACGACCAACTGAGATGTTTTAACGGGGTCGATTCAGCAACTGCCGGGTTATTGTCAGTGATAATTTCCCATGTTTTAACTGGAGATATCTCTGCAAGTCTCCGTTTCAAATACCGAATCCTCTATGTTGGTCATAAAATCAGTGTCCGTATCCGTGGTTGTTTGGCCAGCACAAGTTATATCTAAGACACTCACCAGATAATTCTTGAGCAGATCACCATCCTTTCCTTGGAATAATAGCGAATTCTGTTTGCCCGCGGGGTACCACGTCGCGATCAGATCGAAATTTACGCTGGTAAACCTCTTGGCTTTACCACCAGGCGATGACCAATTGCCCCGTAGGCCGACAATATTTTCAACGAAATTCTTTAGTAATTGAAGATCCTGCGACCATTTAATTCGCGTTCCGTCATACGTTAAGTGACCACAACCTTTCAAAGACCAAATAATGTCTAAGACAAGGTTCAGAGACATCAAATTTCCGATTTTTGTAGAGCTCGATTTGTAGGGCCATTTTGTGCTAGTAATTAGTGTTAAATTCCTCCATTCTTTCTGTGATCTCGCCATTACGAAACGGAGCTTGCAGATGGACTCTATGCGGGTAAGCGGGATCGCCATATAAACACACATCGGGCTGCCATCAGGGGAGAAGGCGTTCTCTTCTAGCTGGTGTAAGAAATTTGAATCGGCGAGCATCCCTGCATCATGTCTTTTTTCCTTCTGTAACATTCAAAATATCCAGATTAGAGATAGCTGCATAAATTTAGCTAAAAAAGTATTTGCTGTGTAACAACGTTTAAGAACTTACCAACAGGACCAAATATATGAGCGATAATCCCGTTTGTTAATGCAACACACTGAAACTTTAACGAGTGAACTATTTTGTGGCCATTATAAACCACTCGCTGATGTTGTCCAGGTCGACAAATCGGTCTGACTGTTCCGTCGATGAAGCCAAAACAGTTTTCGAGTGGGGCTCCCTTTTCGTGAATGGCCTCTGCATAAATCTGAAGGTTTTCGGGGTTTAGAACGTACGGGTTCCATTGAATTACTCTATGCCCATGATTATCGTATATTGAATCAGTAACCAGATTTGATATCATGCACAATTCAGGAACAGATCGACCAAAGCGTTGGATCATATCAGAATATCGACATGGGTACGCAAGACGATTTAAGAGAATGCACAGTCGACTCTTCGAGTCCAGAACAGGTTGTTCTTTGTAGGCACTTAATTATATCGGGAATTTGAAGGACTTGCTGGAGAAAAATGAGGTCGTACTTTTGTACTCGAAGTTCTGCCAAACATTCGGCTTCGTTCATTTTGTCAAGGCAAAAAGGCGAATAATTGCTGTATGGGAACTCAGGATTTCTTGAATCGTACGCTAAGTAGAGTAAAATAAACTGTTCCTCTGTCAAAACACCTTTATCAAAAAGAACAAGACAAACTTCTGTGATTTCTCGAAATGAAGACATAATATCAGCCGTTGGTGCTGGGTTAGCTTTTGCTCAATGTTTTGAAATTCGCGGGGGAACGGCATACTGATTCAATCAATCAATCAATCAATCAATCAATCAATCAATCAATCAATCAATCAATTAATCAATCAATCAAGGGTTTATTATAAAATCGTCGCGCTCGAAAGCGAATTGCAAAGTTATTTACAACATTTGCTTAAAACTATCAATATTAAAATGTACCTTGTCTTAGGGAGGCCTCACATATCGATTTTTTCCACGAGGGGGTCTCCAGAGAAACGAACATATGACGTTTCTCATGGACAAAATCGATATGTGAGGCTTCCCTTACATGCATTATGTTACAACAATTGTTTTACGAATTTATGAATTAATACAGGGGCCGGTTGTATGAAAGGCGTTTAAGTCGCTATCCACCATTTAACTCGCTATCCGCCGGATAAAATTTAAACGCTCGAGAAATCGCGTTGTACAAAGCCCGTTTAGGGCTATCCACCGGTTCAATTTCGCCTATCCACCGTGTAAACTTAAACGGTCTCTTGAGACCGTTTAAATCGCTATACGGTGGATAAACTTGGAGTTTGAAGATAAATTGAAATGCACAATTATGTAGAGAAGTTATCTTTTTCAATCCAATAAACATGAAAAACTCACTTTTAACTGGCTTGGTCTTGAGGTACACCGAAATCACTTGCTCACTTGTATTAAATTCCGTGGCTTTGCTATATTTACGCACACCAGTGTCAGTGTTTAGACGTTAAGTGTACTTTGGCTTTTTCTCCTTCCTTTCTTCTATTATATAGTTGAAAACAAGCAGTAAGACTCCCAATTTTAGCTATTTTAAAACAAACAATGACTTTGCCCTTTGGAAAGCCAACAAGTACGGCATACAAAATAGACAACAAGACGCCGAAAGTCGAAAAATTTTGTTCGCTCGAGTTAATCGCTTTGATCAGCCAATCAAAACTTGGGACAAAACGTTCTTAAAATTGTTTTGAACAAAAGTGCAAGGTCGAGGAACAAAATAACAAATTTCAAACAGTATAAAACTGAATCAACTGACGAAAGCCAAACACAACTCACAGCTTTTGCTATTGCCTTCGACTCTTCGCATAAAGAAGCCAAAAATCTTTAAAGAAACTCAGCACAATGTGAAAATGAAAAGTTTGATATAGAATTGCAACGAACGGACGAGAAAACTCCAAATATAAACAACAACAAACTTTACAAAAGCAAAGTGGAATTCATAAGTTAGATAAAGCTTCAAAAGTTTACAAAGGCCTAGCAACAGCTGACGTAGAGGTAAGAAATTTCAAGAAAATCCGGTTTTCTCCGGTTAAATTAAAGGTTATCCTACGGATAGTTAAACGCGGTACTAAACGGCCTTCGTACAACGCAATTTCATCGGCCGTTTAACTATCCGCTGGATAAGAAATTTATACGATGGTTAACGGCTAAACACTGTTTAAGTTAAACGCCTTTCCGTACAACCGGCCCCAGAAAGATAAATGTACTTTTATAAAATTATATTTACAAAATTTACAAATTATGCGATCGAAGACACATTGCAGGAAAAAGCTTTTCTTAAAGCGCTCCGTCTTACAAGGAAACAGTGTTAGTCTATTTCCGTACCTTAAATTGCAATTGTGTTCATTGGCCCGAGACGGTGGTATTAAATGATCAGGCTGTCTCATTTTGTCAATTTTTTTTGTGCAGAAAGCATTACGTCATGCGCAAAATGTCGAACAGTTGGCTTGGTCTAAAGCTGCGTCATAGCTTAATGTGGGATAGATTATTCGCATTGTGCGCGAATAATCCCATTGGACCCGTTGATGGTCAATGATAAATGCCATGCCGGACAGCAGTACTCGAGCAGGTATCTAATAAGTGCAAAATATACTCGTAGCAAATGAACCGGTGAAACTCCACTGCGCTTGAGAACTCGTAAGATGTATAATCTTTTTGATGCTTTGGTTACTGTCTCACTGATATGCAAATCTCACTTCAGATTATTCTGGATCGTTAAACCTAATACTTTGTGGGATTCTATTCTTTCAATGCCAATATTTTCAACAACTAAGGTGGGTGGAGGCTGCTGAATATCTCGTCGAAAGAAGACGATCATCTCCTTACACTTTTTGGGGTTCAATTGCATATTATTGGTACTTGTCCAATCACCGATTGCGTCCAATTCGTTTTGTAGTATAGATACCTTTCTTGGTGGGACAATCTCAGATATCGTCACGTCGTCTACGTACTTCCAATTAGTGGAACGCGGGGATACCATTTTCAAATCATTATGACAAAAAGGATTGGACCCAATCTGGTACCCTGTGGGACCCAAGCACTAGTTGACGTTGGCGCGAAAAACGTCGGTGCTTAAGTTCCCTAATGATGGTCCAATAATAGCGAAGAAATTATATAGTCCTTGATTTTTAATGCCATTATATGGGTCGTTTCAGGTGCTAAAAAGTTCATATAGACATAGACCGACAAAAGTTCATATAGACATACGCCAATTTGCTTCCATTTATAAGATAAACTGACCCCAAGCTCCTCTCTAACCCCAACCAGTAAACATCTAGCAAACAATTTGAGAATTAAGAAAGTGGGGGGAGTTGGATCTTGTTCCAAAATCAAATCGAACCGTACCACGTTTCACTTCGCAACTCCACCTCGCTGAATACAATCGAAAAAATACATTTTTATAGTAATATATGATGAAATGGAAAGTAATTTGGCAGAAATTAATGTAATTAGGTGCAAATCTATAATTATGCAAATGAACACAAGTTCACCATGCATGTTTATGAGTCTACAATGTATATTTATACTTGTTATTCAAAAAGTCAAACCTTAAACTTGTCCTTGTTTGTATTTCACTATATTGTATAAATTCGCTGGGTCCAAATTTTGGGGTTTTCGAGTAGTTACACAAAGAAAAACACATTAATTCAACACGAAAGCGAGTCCAGACAGGCACAATTCTTTGAAAATTCAACGAAACTGTGTGTAATTATATTAGATCGCTTTGTGAAAAGCCGCCATTTTGAAACGGAACTGAATATGCCACTGGAGCACTCTATCCTAGGAGTTCGAAATTGTGCGTGTGCGTACAAGTGTATGGGCTAATAAACGACCAATGTACCACAAGCATGGCATGAGCCGGCTATTACGTACATAAATACGAGCTTGTTACTATAGCATTTAAATCATGGAACCGATGAATCGATGACATTTTGGCTTAATCGTTGCACCCTGAGCCTGCGATTTCTCGACTACGAAAAAAACAGAAGAAGAGGGATTTAAGACACTTGGCCTACATGCCAGTATAATTATTCAATATCGATTTGTGATTCCTCTTTAGTTTCCCACACACAGAAAAATTTTGAAATACAAATAAGTACCCAGCATATGGATGGTTCAAACTTTTTGGGGTGGTGATATTAAGGGTGACATATTTCTCTTAAAACTCTTAAGGGTGCGATAAATGTTGTTAGTCATTGTATGTATATTTGCATTTCATAGTATTTTGTTTCACAGCAGGGTCCTATAGTGATCATGGCGTGCGCGAATCCATCACGCGAAAAAGGCGTTGGACTTGCCGACACATAAGACAACGTTAATGTCGTTAGGGACTGGTCGTAAAGTAACTGCTAGGATGGGCTGGAGGTAAATCACAAATTTTGTTTGGTGACCCATCTTAGGATGTAGATAAAAATTTCAAAGCCCATCTAATCTTACAAAAAAATGTTCATGACCCACCCAATCTAAAGTGGGAAAATACACTTTTATAATAAAAAAAACTTGCAGGTATGAACATTGTAAATATACACCGTCTGTATTGAGATACGTAATTCCACCAAGCTTGACCAACATTCATCACCAATTACGACACTGAGCTGTTCTCCAGTTGGTTGTATTTGCTGTGATTCGACCACTTCTTGTTGTTGTATAAACAAATAGCATCATTTGCATTTGATAATTTGGATAGTTTTGTTTTTCTTTTATTGTTAATATCTTTATTTTTTGAAGTAGACATGCATGGGTTTTTGTTTGGTGGCCCAACCGTGGACATACAAAAAATTTGGCGGCCCATCGAAACTGCCCAAAGATTTTCCATGGCCCATCCCAAATCACTCCAGCCCGCCCTAGCAGTTACTTTATGACCGATCCCTTAAAACGCAGATTTTGTCCAGAGTACAGCCAACTTTGGTCCTACAATTAGAATTGTAAGCATTGTAATCTGGAACGATCGTTTTCGTGCAAATTATATCGACATTGCGCGAGACATTGTTGTATTCACAGCAATATGTTCATATCTGTGCCATAATCCCAGTTTCTTAATTGCAGTATAAGTTAATAATAAGTTAATTTCTATTATCCCCGCCTATATCTTGTCACGTGACCAGTTTCCATGGAAACCAAATAGTTGAAAAATATCGGCAGTTGATTTCCAACGTCTCATCCAAAAATGAGAGCCATAGTGTACTTTGTTCCTATTTTCCCACTCCTAACGAAATTGGAGCCAGGCATTAATGCACCTGAGACCGAGATTTCGCTTGTTGACAGGCGAGATCTCGGTGACCTGGATAATGTTTTTTCCCATATGAACACAACTTTCCCGCTTAAGGCTGATGTGTTTTTCGTACGCACGTAAAATTTTGAATCCTTCTATTTTTCAAATATTTTACAAATAAGTTTACAAATACATTCTAAAACTTGCGGAACACTATATTCTGTTGCTTTATTTATTTGGTTATGTAAATTTAAACGGATTTAAAGTTTTACGTGCGTATACGTACGTATGAAAAACGCAACAGTGGAAATCAGCCTTTAGCGGGATAACTTTCTGACGTGTCAGCAACTTTTCCATTCAATTTATGTTCAGTGCTACAATCCTGGACAAAACGTTGTGGACAACCCACAGAATTTGGTCTCGAATGGTGTTTTTTCTAAATAATTATCGCCCCGCTCCCCCAAGCCAATGTTGAATG